CATGGTGCATGCCATAGCATGCTTATACAGGTCAGAAGACAGCTTGCAGAAATTGAGTCTCTTCTTCCATCACTTGGATATTTTTTATTTCATCAGTATTTTATTGAAAATATGGACTGATAGTCCTGTGCTCAAATGTCATTGTGAGTATATTCAGACTTCCATCAAACTCTTCACCAATCATTCTGAACAGTACAGATGTAAACAAAAATGACTGCCAAGACAGTATCATTTCAGACATAATCCCCTTATAGTTTGATATCACTTACAATTCCATCAACACTCATAGAAGTAGACACCATAGGCCTAAGACTATTACCACATCTTTTTGCACTTCCCAAATGGTTCTATATTTCAGCTATAAATGTCAGTTCCCACAGCCCAACTTGTTCTTAACAGAATTTTTATGTCCATTCAATCATTCTTTTTTGGTGGGTGCGGGTTCAAGACAGGTTTTCTCTGCGGCTTTGGAGGCTGTCCTGGAACTAGCTCTTGTAGACCAGGCTGGTCTACAACTCACAGAGATCTGCCTGCCTTTGCATCCCGAGTGCTGGGATTAAAGGTGTGTGCCACTACCACCGCCTGTCCTCTTTGAATCATTCTTATACCTTTCTAGGCCAAGTCATCTACAGACAGGAGAAACTGTCACTAGATTCTTCATGTCATGCACCACATAGGACTCCCAATCTTCATAATGGTTAAGATATGTGGTATGACTCACAGCAGAGCCACATAGATGAGAAAATTCTGAATGGAGCTCACATCCTCAAGCATCTTCTGCTTTAAATCCTCCTGGTTCAGCTTCAGCCTGACACCCTAGATCCAGAACATCAAGGCTTCATCTCCACAGCTTACAGACATTGCACCCTGTTTTCCCTTTCACACTGGCCACCTTGAACCCCCACCACATAGATCTTAAGAATCTAACTCAAGTTGTCACAATTGGTAGCAAGCACCATTACTCACAAATCTATATCACCGGCCCCTGGATGAGGAATTTCGAATTATCACCATGGAGATATTAAAAGCTTCAGGAAACACCATCCAGAAAATGATAGTCAGATGGAAAGAACCTTGCCGAACACCGATAGTGAAATACAAACAGGAATTACAGATATCTGCAGTGCTTAGTGAAGGGGATATAGAGAAGACAGGAGAGGCAGCTAGCATGAAGAGAGCACCAAGAAAAAGAAATTTGCAGAGGTAGTCAAGAGAAGCAACTACCACAGAAGCTGAGGCCTAGAAAGTGGGCATCAGTTCATCAGTTCAGATGGAAACTTCCCAAGCTGGGGTGGACAAATACAATAAGCAGAACGAGAAGGAAGAAGAGGCAGACAGAGACCAGCTTCTTACATGTCCTTAGGTGAATCTCTGCCTTCCCAATGCTCCAGAGTAACCTAAAAGTAGACTACCTTGGAGGAACAGGAAACCATAGATCAAATTCTTGCCATTACTCTGTGATAGTCTGAGCTCAGAAACCAATTTCTAGCTTGGGAATGAGGGTTAGGATCAAAGTACTTGCTCGGCACACACAAGTCCTCCTTGTTTTATAGGTGCATCCCAGAGGCACATGCTCAGGTTTCCTACTCTTATATACCAGGACAAAGGATTGTACCAGGGACATAAAAATAGACAGTTTAGTAAGAAATAGTGCTTTTGAGAATGAGAATGGGCTTGTGAGCAGGAAACAGGTCTCTCCTCAAAAGCACGGGGTTACAAGACTCATGATGAGCCTCTCCCATATATGTGTATGGTGGCCATTTTCTGTACATGCCATTTGTTGTAGATAGTTCAGGTAGAAAAGAACTTCCAGTCCTCTGCCGGCTGGCTTTTTGTATGGCATTCTGTTGAGGTACATGTGCCCATGAAGGTCAAAGGACAACCTCAATTGTCCATGCTTGCCTTCCTCCTTGTTTGAGACTGGGTTTTTTGTTTGTTTAAAACACTGCTTTTTTGTTCATTTGTGCTGTTGCCAGGTTTACCTTTGAGCTTCTGGAGATTCTCCTACCTGTCTTCCATTTGACCTTAGGAGCATTAGAATTATAGTGGAGGGCTGGAGAGATGACTCAGAGGTTAAGAGCACTGACTGCTCTTCCAGAGGTCCTGAGTTCAATTGTGAGCAACCACATGGTGGCTCATAGCCATCTATAATGAGATCTGGTGCCATCTTCTGGTGTGCAGGCATGCATGCAAGCAGAACACTGTTTACATAATAAATAAATCTTAAAAAAAATTATAGTTGAGTGAGACCACACTCAACTTTTTATGTGGGTTCTGGGGATTCAAACACAGTCCTCACCTTACACAGTGAAAGGTTTCTGATTTGGACTTCCAGGGGGGATACTGAGACAGATTATCTCAGCAAAGATCTTTTTCTTTTTTTCTTTTTCTTTTTTGTTTGTTTGTTTTTTCAAGACAGGGTTTCTCTGTGGCTTAGGAGTCTGTCCTGGAACTAGCTCTTGTAAATCAGGCTGGTCTCAAACTCACGGAGATCTGCCTACCTATACCTCCCGAGTGCTGGGATTAAAGGCATGCACCACCATCACCTGGCCCCTCAGCAAAGACATTTATTAGAAGAGTTATTAACACATAGACATACAAGCAGCAGGGAAGGAGTTCTGAGGTAGGAACTCAGAATTCAGGTCAATGTGGCATAGTAGGGTGGCTTTACTTGCAGGTTTTATAGGGAGTGGTTCCAAGCCACAACATGGTTGAGTAGTCTACAGAAAGAGCTTGCAATCAGGCTGTCTCTGATTCTGAGCTAGCATGATGTAGGGGATATATATATATATATTATTTTAATTGCATTTATTTACTTAGCATGTGTCTACCTGTGGAGGCAAGAGAACAACTTGTAGGAGCTTCTTCTCTTCTTCCACCATGTGTCTTCTTAGGGATCAAACTTGTGTCACATCAGGCTTGGCAGTAAGCATCTTTACCCACTGGGGCATTTTGTTGGCCCCTAGTGTTAAACTTAATGCTGCTATCCACAGATTTTATATTTTGGGGAGAAGAGGAAGGGTGGCACAGGACCTATATGTAGAGGTCAGAAGTCAACTTACACGAGTTGGTTCTTCTTTCCACTAAGTGTGTACCAGGAGTCAAACTAAGACCCTCAAGCTTGGCAACAAGTGCCTTTACTTGCTTGGCCACATAGGCAGCTCCTCATCTTGTTAATGTGGCACTTTTCTTTTGTCACTGCTCTCCTGTTACCCCAGGTTCCATATCAACAAACTTTTTAAAGCACATATGACAAACAGCTGGGCAGAGGCCTTAATCCCAGTGTATTTCCCGAGGATCTGATGGGACAGGTATTCTGGCTCTCAGGAGTCACAAAATACTGAGTGTTACACAGCTCAGATTGAAAGGGATCCTGACACAAGTGTTACAGTGCAGCTCACTCTGCTCTGTCCAGGATTGTCTCTGCTCTGCAACAAAAGGTCTTCACCCAAAGCTCGTCCAAGGGGCTTATTTTTGTTTTTGTTTTTGTTTTTGCTTTTTGTTTTTGGAGACAGGGTTTCTCTGTGGCTTTGGAGGCCGTCCTGGAACTTGCTTTGTAGACTGGCCTCGAAACACCACCACCACCCAGCCCAAGGGGTTTATTTAGAGGGAAGAATCCAGGAAGAATCCAGGGTGGCAGAGGACAGCGGGACAGCCCAAACAGCCCCAACAGCCCCAAGCTGAACAGATACAGGGTTTATATAGGAATTCTTGGGGGGGGGGTGGAGATTTCCTAAGGGAGGTGGGGATTGGTCAGATTTCAATCCCTGAACTCAGATTGGCTAGATCTCCTGCTCAGGGATTGCTTAGTTTTCTGCACAGGCTTGTGGTCAGATTTGGCTCTGGTTTCAGGGCCAAAGTGTTTCTTTCACTGGTCTTTTTAGCCTTTTGGCTCTTGTTTTAGGACCAGGGTGTATTTCTTTCACGGGCTCTGATTCTAGGGACAAAGTGTGTTTCTTTCACAAGTTCTTTTAGCTTTTGGCTCTAGTTTTAGAACCAAGGTATATTTCTTTCACTGACTCTGATTCCAGGGCCAAAGTGTGTTTCTTTGGCACTTATTGCAGGGCCAAAGTGTGTTTCTCTGGCTGGCCCTTTTTCCCTACACCCAGCACTCAGAAGGCAGAGGCAGGCGCATCTCTGTGAGTTCGAGGCCAGCCTGGTCTACAGAGCAAGTTTCAGGACAGCCTCCAAAGCTACACAGAGAAACACTTTCTCGAAAAAAACAAAAACAAAAACCCAGAAGGGAAGGAAGTGCCACTGTAAAGCCTGGGAAAGTCACCTCACCTATAGCGTCAGCATACTCAGCCGCTGGTGTGGGGTGAAGGAGCCTGCATTTCCGGCGGGCACAGAACAAACACTGCCATTACACTGATCTGCCACTGTCCTACCAGCGCCTGCCCCCGCTACGGCCTCTGGGATGGCACGCCTCAGGGCCTCGCGTGGCGGGCTCACTGGGGCGAGCCCGGAGGCCTCGGCCGAAAAACCTCCACAAGGGAGTGAGCGCAGTGACTCATGCACTTCCCGCGCTTCGCCGCAGTGCCTAAATGCGACTGCGCGGGCTGCGAAGGCGGGAAAGCTGAGGCGTCCTCCGCGCGCGTGCGCCCTCTGCTGGAGCCAACCGTCTTCCAGCACGCATGCGCATTTTCACCAAGCCCGTCCGTCCCTCGCCGCCCCTAGCGCGCGGAATTGTTGGGGTCCCTCCCGTCAGGGGCGGGGAATGAGAAGGTGGGGCCAGGGCATAGCCACGCCCACCGCCGTTCATTTGAAGCCCCCCCCCCCCGACTCTCCATCTCTAGCCAATCACAAATCTCGCTACCCCAAGGGCCAGCCAATGAGCGGCGCGGTGCGGCTGC